AGGTGAACTTAACCTACTATCTAGACTCTGTTTTTGGAGAAAAATTCTTCAAGATTGGGAAGGCAGAGTTTCACTTCAAGGGCAGTAACACTCCTAGTCTAGGAACGCCTGCCTCCTGGTTTGGACACTTCCCATTGATACTTAAAAGAACACCTTTGGGATTAGGAATTAACTGCTGGGGCTTTCCTTCAGTGATGGATCTTCTTTAACTGCTTTTAGACACAGCCACTGCACCATTTAGGAAAAGGTTTTTATGTCTGTTTGACTTGCTTGAATCACAGAATGGTGGAATAATTTGAGTTGGAAGGGAGCTTTAAAGGCCATCTAATCCAACTGCCCTGCAGTGAACAGGGAGAATAAGTTAATCCTCTTTAGTCCACTACTTACAGTTGTTTTCTTATGTTACTTAGAGCAGTTAAGCTTTGTCATTTCAAGATTTGTGGTTGTAATATTTTGTTGAACTCTGTCAGCTGTGTTTGTGTGATAAATGTAGCCTGTGTGTTTTTCTTGCCCTTCTGTTTGGGTGGATGTGGGCTGTTTTGGTTTTGTTTTTTTGCATGCTAGCCTTTAATTGCATCTTTCCTGTAAAAGATCACCAGGGTAGAAATGCTGGCAGAGCCACAGCCAGCACTGCCATGAGGAAGTTCACATTACAGCAGTAACACAAGAACAGCACCAGCTGGAATGGTGCAACCCACAGGGCATTTTCAGCCTTTACTAAGAACTTCTACCCTTCAATTTCTAAATGTTAAGTGCTCCTGTAGCCTAACTCATGTATATTGTAACAGGCTTTTAAAATAACAAAGCTGATACAGCAACACAGCTGCTATTCTAACTTGTCACATGTCATCAAGGAGAGAGATTCTAATTAAAGAACACATTGTCCTAACATTCATTTTCTTCCTGCTGGTCTCCTGTAATGAGCCATTATCTGGGAAGCCCATGTTCCTCCTCAGCATTACTCCTCACCTCCTCATGACTGTATTTGAAAAGCACAGTACAGCCAGCAGCTTACATCCATTCACAAAACACATTTTTACAGCAATTGCTTTGATATGAAGGTTATGGGGTGCTTTTTAATCCAGATCTTTAGTCTCTGCTAGAATATTTACAGTGGCCATTACATACTGTGTCTGATCCTGTCTGTTCCATGTTCTCTTCTTTTGCAGGCTTTAAAAGCCATCATTGCATTTGACACTGCAGGGCTTGCTCTGGGCTGGAGATTTTTTGACCATGCAGCACATCTCGGGGGAGCTCTGTTCGGAATGTAAGTGTCACATTTAAATCCCTCCTAGGCAGATTTTCACCCCCCCCCCCCCCCACATATACCTTACCTCTGAAATTTAGGGATTGTTCTTATTTATTTGTTTTCGTATGAATAGCACTGAAGAGGAGTCAGTGTTATTCTTAGAATGTCTTAAAATTGTGTGGAAAAGTACAGTTATCAGATCTTAGAGCTGAAGGAAGTTGAGCTGGGCTGTCCTTGGTTGGATGTCTGACTGTCCTGTCGCTGTAAGCTGGGCTGGCTTTCTCTGTCCTGCTCACACTGAAGAGTCACAGGACAGAACAGATTCTCACAAAACATGGTATAACAAATTAAAATGCTTCTGGAGTTGAACAGTTGAGAAAATTCTTGTGTCTGGAATGTTTATTTCTGATTACCAGTTTAGAGTTGAATGAGTATGAACTGAGGCCACATTCTTCAAGCAGCCCCTAATGCTGTGTTTCAGCGTTGCTGCTTTTGTATTGTAGCCTAATTGTGAAGAACTACTAGAAATGAGTTTGTAGCAAACAGCTCTGCATTGTTCGTGTTGGAACCACATGAGCTAATGAGTTTTGCTGTCCTAACTTGCACACACATTGCTAGGAGTGTTCTTAAACACAGGCTAAAAGCCTACCTGATGTCTGACTAGACCAGATAAAGAATGAGTTGACAGCTTGTTGTAGAAGTGTGTCCAGTGGGTTTATTCTGCAGCATTCCCTAGGTTTCCAGGGAACCTGGGCTCCTGTGGTAGTGTGTAGAACACTGTTCTTTCCACTTTCCCTGAGCTCACAGAGCACAGCAGTTACTAAATGTTTGTTCTCACAGTTCCTGAAAGCTGCAGTCTGGTTGGAGGGTGCTTAGTTTGGTCTCCAGGCAGGTTTGCCTTTGCTGCTGCTTGGCAGGAAGTTTCACTCTGCACAGCCAGCTTTCCTTCCCTTCTCAGTTTCTCATAGTAATACAGATTCACTTCTTGTGGCTGTCCAACCTTTTGGCTTGCCTGGGTGGCACTGAGTGAAGAGCATCTGCCTTGGGCTGCATTTAAGTAGGTCGCTCCAAAAGTAATGCCTCCTCCCCGTGGAAACTACAACAGATACAAAGCACAGTAATGCTATTTGATGGAGCAAAACACTACTTTTCATATTCCTCTCTGGTAAGGGCAGGTCTTAGAAGAGTCTGGTAAAGAGATGTGATCACATTTTTCTTTGAGATGAATATCTGTTGCAGCTCTGTACATTGCATTTGAAAATTTGCAGGTAATGTATTTATGACAGCTAAAAGTGCAGTCACAAATACACCGACAATTCAATGGTTTTTTTCAGAGCTGCACTCAAGTTTTACACGCACCTTTCCTTCTCTCTCATGTATACATTTTATTCAGTGATTATTTCGTTACATGGCTCTACCTTTCCCCCACGCTATCCTCCATAACCTCCCTTGTGTAATCACTTGTACAAAACCACATCAGTATCAGTGTGAGTGTAAATCAATCCAGAGCACTCCAGCAGGAGTTGGAAGGACAAGCAGCTTAGCTAACATTGCCACCTTCCAAAAATGCTACTTTCCTATGGTTTATCTTGTCTGCTCTTGCAAGCAGTTGTTTGCCTTTACCAGCAGGTCTGTTCCTCGGCTGCAGAGAAGTTGCAATTAGTTCTGACTGGCATTTTCTCTCCCAGGTGGTATGTGACTTATGGCCATGAGCTCATATGGAAGAACAGAGAGCCACTGGTGAAAGCTTGGCATGAAATGAGGACAAGGAATGCAGGAAAAGGAGGTGGAAGATCTAACTGACCCTAATCCCACCGTGCAGCTGCCGGAGGGTTTTTTTGCTACTCCACATTAGAAACCTCAGCTTCTTAGAGGCCTGACATTAACTTCAGTTATAGAAATGCCTATCATTAGAAAAGAAACTCTGACAAAGGTGGAACAATAAAGTTTTTTAGCCTATTTCTCTGAGCCAGCAGTCTGTCTTACTTTTTTTTAAGGAGCAATGAAAAAACTGTCCAATAAAGTGGCTGAAAGTTCTGCCAAAAAGACTTTTGATGTTCGTGCAGTTGGTGAATACTCGGGAAGATAAATGTTTGCATATCTGAGGGATCTTCCTAACAGATCATCCCCTGGTGCCCATTGCTGGCTGTGTGGGTTCAACTCGGCATGGCAGGACTCGGAGTAAGGCTAAGTGCTGAACTTCTGTGGCCTTTATTGCTGAAATATTGCCTGCTGGGGGAGAAAAGCCACGGTCTCCTCTGGGCTGAACCTGAAGTTGTTGAAGCCATGCTGAATGGTTTGTACAGGTAGCCAAGACTTCCATGCTGGTTTATTCCTCAACTCATTCAGCTCGTCTTAATTTGTCTGCTTCCAAGATGTTGCTGTATATTGTTAGACTTTACTGACGAATCTTTTGTCTCGTTCATAATTACGTACAGGGGAAAAATGGCTTACAGTATGGTTTTAGGTATTTCACCATGAGCTTTCACTGTACTGCTTTTTCTCTGTTTTAAGTCTTGCTCGTTTCCTGTAAAAACTTTGGAGGAGTAACATTTGATTCAGAATCTGCTGCTAAGCTTCAGCAAAAATGGATGAGCACAAGATCAGTACTGCTATAAGCAGAAGCAACTGCCTGAGGAGAATGGTTTGTGGGCAATGTTCCCCAAATACAAATGAAAGCAAAAATGGATTTGGGGTATGTTAGCAAGGGGCAAAAGCCTGCTTGGATAAGAGCAGGTGGGGGCTGAGCTTTCCCCAGGCTGCACCATCCTTCCAGGTGTGTTGACCTACTGCAGCATCTCCAACTGAAAACCATTGCATCTTTTTGTACGTTAGAACGCTCTTGTGTGGATAAACACTGCTAAACAGCAGTGAGTGAGCTCTGAACCTTCGCTTCTCCTGTCTACCTCCCTGTGACACTGAGCACTGAGCACGCTGCTTTGCAGGGCTGTGAGCCGGCACAGCTCGACGCTCAGCGCCGGCAGCAGCAGATGGCAGCGGGCGGGCGGTGCGGGAGGGCGATGCCGTTCCCCTTTTAGAGGCCGTTCAGCGTCTGAGTCTGCAGCGCTTGTGGTGTAGGAGCGCGTAGAGCTTGCGGGACGCTACAAAAGCGCTCCTACTGCCGAGCAGCGAGTTCGGTGTCATTTTGCACCTGAGCCTTTACGCGGCGTTGTCCGCCAGAGCCTGGCAGCCTTCTCTGCTCCGCAGCTGACAGACAGGAAGGTGGGTGCTGGAGGGCGCGGTGGGGCAGCCCGGCACGGGATGGCGGGGCACGGGAACGGGAACGGGGCAGTAAGCAGCGGGCGGGCGGGAGGGGAGCGGCCCACGGAGCGGGGTAGGGTTTCTTCCCCTATCTTCAAAGAGCTCGTTGCGATGAGAAGCGCAACGCGGTAATCGCGCAGCTGCTCGGCAGAGACAGCGGGCAGCGTTTGTGCGGGGGGAAAAACAACAGCATCGAGTCACGGCTCAGCGTGAAAAGCCGCAATTGTTCGCCTTCTGCGCAGCGCAGGCAGGCTGCGGGGCGGCGCGGTGCCCGGGCAGCTCCGCGCGGGGCGGGAAGGGGAGCTGGGCAGCGGCGCGTCCCGCCGCACCGCCCGCCCCTCCCGGCCGTCCCGCCGCGGCCCCGGGCTCCGCTCAAACCCCCCCCCTCCCGGACCGGCACCCCCCGGGGTCACGTGTGCGGCCGCGATCCCGGCGCGGGGGCGGCGGAGCGGGGAGGGGGCGGCGGGAGGAGGGGCGGCCGCGGGCGGCCATGGCCTGGCCGTGCATCAGCCGCGTGTGCTGCCTGGCGCGCTTCTGGAGCCAGCTGGACAGGTCGGACCTGGCCGTGCCGCTCACCATCCGCAACTACTCGGACATCGAGG